TGAAGTTTGATCGCTCTTCGCAAACATCCTCTTCGAAGAAACGGCAGAGATTATATGTGAATATCCAAAACTCCTGCCTTTACCAATACATGAATTTAAAAAGGCTCCTGTTTTTGTGTACAAAAAGCATACAATTTAAATTCAATAATGTGCTTTACCGCCAGATTGATGGAGTAGCAATGGACAGCCCTTCGGGCCAAATTCTGGCCGAGATATTTATGGGAAACCTGGAACAGAAGAAGCTTAACTATGCAATCCATGGCACTACACTCTACTGTAGATATATTGATAATACATTTCTCGTCTGCAACAATCACAAGAACGCCATCAGACTGCTTGATCTGTTTAATAAAACACACAAGGATATTGAATTCACTATGGAACAGGAAGTTGAAGGCAAATTCCATTTTCTAGATATTGGAATCAGACGAACATCTGATGGAACATAACAAAGACATATTCATCACAAAAATACCTGGAGTGGAGTATATCTCGATTACTATAGCTTCTGTCCAATGAGTTACAAAAAAAGTATTGTACGAGCCCTTTTTAACCGCGCACGTAAAATTTGTTCAAAGGAATGCCTGGATGACGAGATTGCCCTCATCAATAATTGCCTACGTGAAAATGCATATCCGGTGAAATTAATCCATGAATATGTAAGAGTTAAACCAGGTAAAGCCAAATGAGCATAACTTTATGTATTATATTTGCAATTCCTATTAAGTGATGAAGTACAGAGTAATTATCCAATAGTACACATATCACATAATTATTCACGTTTACGTGATGTGAAGAGAAAAAAATTATGAATGACGGAAGCCATTTTTTGGGACATTGCTTTGCTTAACTGAAAGTCTGAAAGTACCGACATTGAGTTTTGTCCCTATTTTATAATATGAATCATGAACTTTCGTCTAATGATTGGGTCACTAGGATATTCTTCTCTATCCTAAAGTTGCTGCTTTTTAAATGTGAACATCAAACCTCATTTTTCTACTTTAAAGCTCTAGTTTGGAGGTGATTGTGTTTTTCTTATTTTTGCGCGTTTTACCCTTACTAGCCACCTTTTCGCACTAATTTGAGTTAAGAATAATGAGGATAAACATCTCAGAAATAACACTGATAATAAAATGGTATATTGAATAAAAAAAAATGATAGCAGTTGCTATGAAATGAATGTTACTTGTAAGCTGCTCAATGAAATAATAATCACAAGTAAGTTCACTTGATTAACAAAGGTTCCTCTACACGTGGCGGCACCAACGGCATAGTGAGAAAGATTAAATCTAGTAGTATTATTTAGTAGTACTTCGAGCCAAATCTTCAACGTAGTGTGGAAAGGCCTAAAAGAATGTTACAACACTATTATAATCTTCAATCAAAGACCGTGACCAATAAAGCAGAAGAACCCACGGCGGAGTTAGCGTTTATTTTTAACAATCGCGTCAGTGTGTATGTAAATATATAACCAAACAATTATATCCGTTTCTTTACCACTGATACAGAGAAACAATAGATATTGAATATAAACGTGTTTACATATAATGTGTGACAAGTAGGTAAAAATGTAGTCTTTATTTTGTTTTTTCAAAAATTAGTGAATATACACGTCAAAGTACGTCGTAACCAGGTTCTATGAATACATTCATGGCCGTGCAACACAAACTACGTTATTACAGAAATATATTAGTAAGAGTAGATACAAGGGATATGGTGCAACCACTTTTGCATGGGTCAGTTGATAGTACAAAATAAATTGACGCCCATTGGTTGTTCATGACCTTGATGAGGATTGGTGGACTGCTCGACATTCAGTTACCCGATAGCCGGATGATTTGTCTAAGGCTTCGTGACATTTCACTGACCCTACATTACTCACCCACCAGATTCAATGACTGTTGGAATCTATACCAATTACATTAAGAGTAATCGTGCACCTGAGGTTTCCAAACGATGAACAAGAATCCTCCAGGTATTGCTGGGCTGTAAGATAAATAAAAATGAGGTGGCAGCAACTGGTAGGGAATAGCGTGTAATGATTAATCTGGGAATATTGGATTTGTCGATGTGCTTATTACTATGACTTGCAGGTTGGTTGAATGTCAAGTAATTAGGAATGTGTTGTGTCATTATGGCCCGCTAGTTATCACGTAATCTATTCGCCAATCAAAATACGACTTATTCGCTCTTATACTGCAATAAACCAATGACGTCCGACCGGTCTGATCAGCCTAGCGAGCTATTGCTCCGTTGCTCGCCAAGCCCGTCCAGCTGAGTCCAGAATGTCAATAACAGCCTCCACTGTGCGAATCATTTATTTCAGACATACTGGGTTTATATTACCAGACCGCAACGCACCATAAAATATAAAATAACAGTCGTACAAAATATAGCCAAAGGTGGCTGTGAACGTGGGAGACAGTAATTAACAAACTGAGTATAACATAAGAGCAGTGAGTCGCACAATAATAAACTATAGGTCAAAACGAAGCTAATAATAAGGGAAATATAGATATCAGAAGGGGGTTTGTGGACATAATAGTAATTTCACTGGTTGAGATAATTAGTTAGTTGAAGTTAGACCACCATGGAAAACATTGAAGCACTGGACAGAACAGCTGATATCAACTTTAAAATTAAGACAAAAATTATGTTCACAAATTGAAGAATTTTCGAGTATAAATGAAGAAGACATAAATTCAGTTGGTTTGTGATGCCTCAAGAAAGATATCAGTATGCGCACTGCTGAGGAGTTCCACAATAGGACGAAACGGCCGTCCAGTGCTTCCAGGTTTTTCATGGTGGTCTAGCTTCAACTGACTCATGATCACAATCATTGAAAAAAATATAGATATATATAATCTAGCTACTAAATAGTTATACAATAAGAATATATTGATAATATTAGTCCATAAATAGGTCTCCGAAGATACCCGTAATTTAATCTTAACTAGGATATAACAGAATGACAATGATAAAAAGCTATGACATTTTAAAGTTCTATCAAGCCCTATTCAAATACATTGCTCTGGCAAGTTTGCAGCAAAAGTAATAATACTACAGTGGTAGTACAATCAGTGTATTATCATTTGATGCCGATGTTTGCATTATCATTGACTTAAGGTGTAAAGCCAGTCTGTGTTGTTGACAGTTCACTGTTCGCAAGTGTCGAATTCTATTTATATTTATACTTGACAGTTTAACAGAAAGTACGTGAAAAGAATTCGTGATTTCATTGTATGAAGTTATACATATAAATTGATTTGATATTACTTGCTTGTATCTTCCCGGAGTAAACACCAAATCTGGGATACAGGTACATCTAGCTGACGAGTCCCAAATAAGACTAAACGCGCGTCCTGGATTCCATTGCTAGCCATCGTCCATCTTTGATTATAAATATAGTCAATATATCCATGCAAGTGTCATACTATAATTTTAAATAAGAATTTTCATCTGAAGTTTGTGTATTTCAGGAAGAGAAAACAAAATTTTGCTTGTAATTTAACATTTAGAAATAAAATGGTTAATTACAACCCAGTGAATGAATTTATTCGTACTAAACAAGCTTTGATATTGATTTATTATCTATTTTTGTTTTGTTTAAATAGTGTTTCATAAGATATACGTTTGCAATATACTTACATAGTTCCCCGGAATTCATCTACCACTGAGAAATATATCATCGAATGCTAATGAATCTACATTTGGTCAACCAAATAATTTTGTTTTATGTGGTAGCTATAATATTGCAATTGATTACACGATGTTCCTAATTTCCAATGTAACTATAGTCCTGTGCATTTAATTACAAGATATCTCATTAATTATTTGACTAAGGAATAAAATACTGACTACATGTAATTTGCACTCACAAAATCATGTCCATTATGTATACCTTAATGCATCATACATGTTAAGGTTTATTGTACTATGTGTGCTATATTACCGTACATTTCGCTGCTTGTCCTCATAGAGTTCAAGTTACAAATACGATTGAAAATCGAGATATCGATTAACAACAAATCTTTTCTTTATCTACAAATTCGGATAAGATATTCCATATCCAAAGACTTTTTTACACCATTAGATCCCTGCTATGTAGTCTGGAGGTTAATTATTCATGTGTCAAATTAAAGGTCCTGTGTTCAGGAGAAACGGCTATCCAGTACTTGTTGGATTCCATAATCACGTTTTTGAAAATAATACCAATAAGATATTTTATTGTCTTTCAAATGTATGTGATGATTGCGAATGAAATACGAAAGAAGATAAAATATTAATACTAAATATTTTTGCCAGATCAGACCAATGAAACTTGCCGAAAAATCATACCACTTCACATGGTTAGTAAGCGAAAAATGATGTGAATTACAAGCAAACACCTGCGTTCACATTTATTGTTTAGTGAACATGTAAATAAGTGTGAATTACCTTGGCGAGACTATAATTTATGGACTAACTATTGAAATTAAAGACAACACGTATTGGATTTTGGAGTGAAGTTCATTTATCCAGGGTTCGAATCCCGCAAGCGGGATCGCGGATGAGCACTGCTGAGGAGTTCCACAATAGAACGAAACGGTCGTCCAGTGCTTCCAGGTTTTCAATGATGGTTTAACGTCAATCGGTTCATGATCTCAATCAAAAACTTAACAATCTCCACAACCCCTAAACTGATCATTATCTGTCTATTTGTTTACTTATAATATTGATTTCTTAACAGAAAATAACATTGTAATTGTTATACTTAGAAACGATTACCCCCCCTCTCTCTCACTCACTTCTCTCTTGCATGTCTGTTATCTTGTCAAAAATGACTAATGTCATTAACCCATATGTTAACTGAATGAATTTTTCATTAAAGGTTTAGATTATAAAAGATTAATTATTTACAATGAATTATATAAATAGATTACTACATACATTATAATCAGTTGTATATGATCATTATAGTATAGTGAATAAAACGTTCATTTGATAATTATCCATGAATCATGATTAATTCAATGCTAATAATAATTATTCTATCTTCGAATACATACATCAATTGTATTCCTATATCAAATAATATATGGGCATTAAAACAAAATACTGGTTCATTTCAATTTCAGTCACAAAATCAAGTACAAACGTTTAATACAAGTGGATATTCAATGCAAGAACAACGTCAAACACAATCATTTATTAACACTAACATCAATGGACAACAAATTATTCAGCAGCAAATGCAACAACAAAATCAACAGTTAAATTCAATTCAATCACAAGCTCAACATCAATCTATAAATTTTGGAAACTTGCAACCAATAAATACATTACCAATGATTATTCAACCAAATCGGAATGATGGTTTACAAATTCCAATCAATCAAGCACAACAATTATTGGATCCACAGATATATAATCAACAAAAATCACCTAGTCAGTCACGAAATGACGTTGATCATTTAATACCTGATCATCAACAACAACAACAATCAACAGAACTACCTCAAGAATCTCAGGATAGTGAAATACAACCAACACAAGAAATCCAGAATAAAGCCAATTCTCAACAACTCGAATCATCATCACAGTCCGCTCATTCACAATCCGATGCTGATGGTTTGATATTGGTACAACCACAATCATCTGAACAGTTTCGAGAATTACAGGATAGTCAAAATCAATCACCACAACAGTCACAGCCTGAAATCGACTCACAACGTCAACTCGAATCATCATCACAGTCCGCTCATTCACAATCCGATGCTGATGGTTTGATATTGGTACAACCACAATCATCTGAACAGTTTCGAGAATTACAGGATAGTCAAAATCAATCACCACAACAGTCACAGCCTGAAATCGACTCACAACGTCAACTCGAATCATCATCACAGTCCGCTCATTCACAATCCGATGCTGATGGTTTGATATTGGTACAACCACAATCATCTGAACAGTTTCGAGAATTACAGGATAGTCAAAATCAATCACCACAACAGTCACAGCCTGAAATCGACTCACAACGTCAACTCGAATCATCATCACAGTCCGCTCATTCACAATCCGATGCTGATGGTTTGATATTGGTACAACCACAATCATCTGAACAGTTTCGAGAATTACAGGATAGTCAAAATCAATCACCACAACAGTCACAGCCTGAAATCGACTCACAACGTCAACTCGAATCATCATCACAGTCCGCTCATTCACAATCCGATGCTGATGGTTTGATATTGGTACAACCACAATCATCTGAACAGTTTCGAGAATTACAGGATAGTCAAAATCAATCACCACAACAGTCACAGCCTGAAATCGACTCACAACGTCAACTCGAATCATCATCACAGTCCGCTCATTCACAATCCGATGCTGATGGTTTGATATTGGTACAACCACAATCATCTGATCTGTTCCAAGTATCCGATTCACCGATTTCAAATGTCTCAAATCCAATGGTTAAGCCGCATTCCAAATTTGGCGATTCATCTTCTGGTGAACCGAAACAGTCACTCGAATCTCAGCTATCTCCAGATTCTTCATTGTCCGGTCAATAGCACCAACGACTACAATAACAACCTTTGAAAGAGTCACAGGTGCACTCAGACACTCAAATATCGAACAAACAACAAACTTTCCACCTATCATCTAATCAATCACAACCTACTGTTACTATTGTTACTATATAATATCAGTCTGATTTGTCACAAATGACTTTCAGTTCTCAAGCATGCAGTCAGCTTTATATTTGTAATGACTTATGACCGATCACTAATATCACATGACAAAACGACAATCACAATATCGATTTCTATGACTTTGTCCTTGAGCTAAGCAATGACACACGAACCGACACTTGTAGCTTTGAGTCAATGACAAGTCTATATTAGTCCTAGACTCGATCGAGAAATTGGTAACCAACCTTCACTATACAAATATTATATTTAAAGCGTTTATATTTTTTATCCAGACACATACGACCACACTACACCAGACCACACCATAAAATGAAAAATAACATCTACACATGATCAAGACGAAAAGTATCTGTGAGTAGGGGAGATTGCATAATAAACTGGCAACAGATTAATAATGGTAAATCATTCACCAGCAGTTAATTTGTTAGTCAAAAGCTTTTGATAAAAGTAATGTATATATATTTATGCATGATGTCGTTACTTATTAATTATGTAGTAAGAATGAATATATGTGTATATGTAATAATAGTTCTGGAAGTTACCATTCCCCTACTTGTCGTTTGAATGAAATAACATTATTCGATGATTCAATTTAACGTTTCACTTCTGATGTACATCATCGATGACATGTATGTGAACAACAGCGCCCATCGATTGGTTTCATTCATGACAAATTAATATGTTTCCCAATCGATTTTCAAATTGTTTATGTACATTACTAACCACAATCGAGTTTTAGTCATTCGACAACTATTTCAATCTTTACATCACATTCATACACACACTTTCATCCAATTAGTCGGGAATTGCAATCATGCATAAATTAGATTGTCTGGTCGACATCTAAGAAATATTAACCAATTGCCGCATTCATTGTGATTAGAATTTCAACAATTAGATCAGATGGTATCATAGTGGTTAATATTTGTATAATTCAGGTTATGGAAATCAATTAGAAAAGAGCAACATTGTGAAATCGAATCCACAATCACGCAACTAGTCTAAGGAACCGTTTGCCAACTGAAGTGATAGTGTAAATGGATGTAGATCACTGTTATTCATGAAAGGTCGAGATTATTCATGTTGAAGTTTGAACGGATGATTTGATGGTAAACTATTTCGAAATTATCGTATATAATGATTATTTTGCGTGACTTTGTTTCGTTCAAATGTGTCTCCAAAATGAATCTGACTGACATATGTTCTCGTTACTGGTCTTTATATTCAACTTGTGTTGTTTTAAATTGACTCTTCTCATGAAATCACAGTAGATCGTTTTGATTACTTTGAAATTAACTAGTGACTGTGTGAATGGTGCTGATATCTGTAGTCAGTGAATATGTGGTTGCGTTATGCATACGAGAAATAACATCTCACAAGCTGACGTCTGTTGGCCTCTTTAGAGCATTGAATTTAATACTGCTTGATACAATAAACATTTTCTGTGATAAATATTCCAATTCAGAGAAGTATCTCAGAACAGAATATCGATTGTGTCTAAGAAAGGTCAGGAAAATTCAGATTTATTCTATTTATTGATATCTTCTTTCTTGAGGTATCACAATTCAACTAAATTTATGTCTTCCCTTCAATACATTTCGTTATTCTAGTAGAAAACCGATAAGAGGATCATTGTTTATTGTAATCATTAAGAAATAGATTATAAATCAATTAGTAACTTTGTGTTTGAACAACTAATTATTCCTATGATACTTCATCATCATTTCCTTACCAAACAACCTAATAAGTCCAACCGTGTAACTAAAAAACGAGTGCAGTCTACTTGTTTGTTCATTCTATAGACAATCCATCAACTAACATAGAACATATAAAAAACGATTTCATTTTTAATTGCTGAACTGCTTTCTAATTAAGGCAATATCAAGACAGTTCAAACAAGATGCACATATGTCAACAAGAGACTGATCAATTGCAGTCCTAAACATCAATGGGAAGATACAGGCAAACAATACCAAGTGAATAAATTTCATATTTTATTAGGACGCTGAAATATATCAATAAGTAGCATATCAATCTATCATAAAAATAAATCATTAAAAATAAGAATCAATCATCTATTATGATAAATAAAAAACATTATCAAGTATACACTGTACCCTATGATATATGAAAATGAACTAAAATTGATATTACTGTGTAAAAGTACATTGAAGTATGAGAAAATTATTCCAGCATTCGAAAAGCACATTATTAAAGTATTTGAGACAATCACCATCTTATCTCAACATAGTGCACGCAATATTCAAGTCACCTAGACTAGTGGCCATATTGCAACTTGATCGATAGGATTCGATCTGCACTAAGAAGGACCTGATATACATGACATTGATTACCACCCAGTGATCCACCAATTGTAAATATTTAAGAAAATACATTAAATTATTCTACTGATTCTCAGCCAGAATTCATAAACCCGATTTTTACGAATTATAATAAATGCCTATGAAAACTTGATGTTAGCACTATTATTCAGAAATGAATATTTACAATGAGAATTGGAAATAATTAAGTCGTTGTGATTGATTAGAAATCTGTGAATCTGATGCTGGTTGTGTTTGATTGACTTGAAATGGTAAATCACCATCCTAGTTTAATTCGTTAATCATTGGTAATGTAATAACTGGTTGTAAGTTATTGGGATTTTGAGTTGGATTGTAAGTTTGTGAAGTTCTTGGATTATAATTGTTGAATTTGTTGTTGGATGGTTTATAGACCATGGTTCTGAGTACCAGTAGATGATTTAGATTGTACATGTTTTTATAACTAAGATTAAAATGATCCATCGTTCTGCTCAGAGTCCTGTTATAATGATCTTATACTTTTTGACATACAATTCATGTTTAACATTAAAGAAATGGTAATCATGAGTTTTAATGGAATGATCATAATTCATAATTGATTAATAAATTGAACAACATTATTCTGTTATAGTCATTATGTTGTTAGTAATGATAGTGACCCATTTATGTAACCCGTGATAAATAACTAATTCTTTATAATCGACAGTTTTTATAATGATTTCATTGATTGATTGATGTAGAAACTATTAATGTAGAAAATGAAAATTTGTGTCAAAGTTTATATAACAATGATCTCCATAGGTTTAAGTGAAATCACGTATCGCAAATAATGGAGAGAGGTATGTCTTTTTGAGTAAATATAAAGTAATAATGAAGAAAACTACACAAGAAATTCACATTAAAACTTAAAAATCACAATCACAAGCTGTATTACACTATTTATTAATATAATTGAACCATTGAATCTAATGAACTTACTTAGTTATGCCTGTTAACCCTCGCGTAAAAGCATAGGCCGATCACAAGCATTCTCCATCCAACTCTGTCCTTGTCAATCCTTTCCAGTTCTTTCCAGTCACTATTCATTATTTTCTTGTCTATTCCCAATTTCTGACGCGGCGTATTATTTAGTCTTCCTTTATTCCACTTCCCTTCACGATCCCAAGTTGGCGCTTGCCTCATGATGCAGTTTGATGAATTCCGTAATGTATGGACTATCCACTTTCAACATCTTTCCCCAACTTACTCTCCAGATGGAAGCTGGTTTGTCCTCTCCCACAGTAGGTTGTTGCGGGTAGTACCGGGTCAACGGACGTTGAAAATCTTGTGTAGACAATTGTTTACAAATACTTTTACAGTTTTAATGATGGTTGTAGTAGTTCTCAACGTCTCAGTTCTGTACCATAGAGCTGTCTTGAAATTGGTATTGAATATTCTGACTTTGATATTGGTAGAGACAGTTGTTTTGAGTTGTATATGTTGTTCAACTGTAGGAATGTTGTCCTTACTTTGTCAATCCTTGCCTGTACATCTGTTTCAGATCCTCCACGTTCATCGATGGTGCTACTGTCCAGATACGTTGATGTTTCCACCTGTTCCAGAGTTTCGCCACCAAGTGCGATTGGGTTGGTGTTCTCCGTGTTGCTTTTGCTCTCGTGTATGTTGAGGCCTACTGACTCTAAGGAAAGTTTGATTCTATTATTTGAACAAATGGTTAGAAATCTTACAAAAATAGAAAAATCACCGTGGTGTATATGCTATTCCAAATCACAGGGATTAACATATGTCATTAAACCTTCTGTCCTTACCAGGAAAGATTGAAATTTTTGGAAGGAAATGTGACTTGAATAAACTTATTGGTCAAACGCGTTCGATAATCGTTAACTATACTAGGTGCAGTTTATAGTCAGTCATCTTAATATTCAGTGCAAATATTACGGGTCATATGTATTAGTTACTGTCAATGTAAAAATCTATTTTCGTAACAAGTTAATTAATGAATAGCAGTTGCATGTGTTTAGCCTTCTAATAAACTAAATTAGGATGTCTCATATTCAGTTGTCCGTAGAAGAGAATAAACCAACTTCCATTTGAAAAAGAAATTAGGAAAAGACGTTGGAAATGGGCCAGATACACATTGGAGAAATCGTCAAACCACATCTCGAGACAAGTGCTAACTTGAAATTGTGAGGGGCAACGGAAAAGCGGAAGACCAAAGAACACATTGAATCGGGGATTGGAAGCAGATATGAAAAGTATGTATAGCAACTGGGAAGAACTGGTAAGGATTGTCCAGAACAGAGTTGGTTGGAGAATGCTGGTGATCGGCCTATGCTCTTCTATGAGAGTTATCAGGAGTAAATAAGTTTCTTTAATTTAATTCTAACTACAATTTAGTAACTTTGTAAGTTTTTATAAAGATATTGACTTAATACAGACGACAACGTAAACGTATCTGTGTAAATAACACTTGGTTTCATCTTAATGATTCAAAAACGCTCTAATGAAATATTAATTAAATGTGATCGGTGTAACCGC